GGCGTTCGCCGAAGGATGTTAGTGATGATATTGAGAATGGGGTTATTGAGGGTATGAACTCCTGCGCTGCTACTCAAACAGACAATTTCGCTAACAATGCAGCAGTTCCTGAAGAATAAGAATGCCTTTCAAGATATTTGCCTTTGCTACATAGCGATGGTGGTACAATATGAAGCTTCATGACAAATGTTATACCTGCTCATTGAGAATACCTGATTCACAAGTGATATACTTTGCCAACACTCTGGCCCTTACCCCCTTTCCCTCGAGGATTGGTTCAATCTATGGTTCGGGCCTATTTTGGTGCAAAGGAGATGATACTCTTTGGAGAGGCCAATTACTCACCACGACATTCTATCCTTCGGGCGTGGATGTGGAGGTCCATATTTTCAGGCCTAAATTCTCATGTTATTACTACTAACATTGCAGGCACAGTCTTCTCCTACTTAACCTAGGTATCCTACGTTTTCTAGCGTCAATCAAATTATCGAGTTACAGGAGGATCTATTCCTATACTTACAGTGCGATTCGCTCTTACGTGCTTGACTTGGCTATCTTAGCAGCTAGGGAAGACCAATTAATTCAATAGATAATCCGGGCATCAAAGCTTCAAGATTTGATACGGTACAAGATTGTAGAATTACGTACTGCATCAGCCGTCTTCGTAGGCGCATTTTCGTAGATCGTTCTCCAGAATCAACACCCACAACCCCCTCCGCCTCAACCTTCGCACTACCCTTCCTCATGCTTCCGCAAAAATTGGTGTCTCCTCCGCTCATTTAACCAAGTTCATTTGTACCCCAGCAAGTTGCGAACTCGCCATTCTTTTGGACCGCTTGATGCTAGGAGTGACTACGGTGCGGAGCTGCGGACTTCTACCTCTGAGTCACGGCTGTTTGAGGGCGATCTGCCCCGTCCTACCAACTTTGCTACACCACAACTTTACAAGCAGTAGGAGGTTTAGCACTACACTGCCCAAGATGGGGTCTACACAGCAATGGTCTGCTGTGCGGGTGCGGGAAACGTTCATCGACTACTTCAAGAAGAAGGAGCATACATTCGGTATATAATCTGGATTTGAAAGCTCTGATATTGGCACTAATACGGTCAACAGTGCCCTCCTCATCGGTCGTACCACACTCAGATCCTACTTTACTCTTCGCCAATGCGGGCATGAACCAGTACAAGTCCATATTCCTCGGAACCGTCGACCCTTCGTCGGATTTTGCTCAACTCAAGCGTGCGGTCAATTCGCAAAAGGTGGGCACGTGATTCTCTTGAAAGGGGCGATGGTTAACAGGCAAAGTGTATACGCGCGGGAGGCAAGCATAATGTAAGCCTCAGCACATTCGTGGAGAGGCTCCCGCTTATGTTTAAAGGATCTGGACGATGTGGGCAAAGACAGCTACCACCACGTGAGTCTTGGGTAATGTTCAACTGAAAGACGCTGGACTGACGGCCTGGCTAGACGTTCTTTGAGATGCTGGGCAACTGGAGTTTCGGCGACTACTTCAAACAAGGAGCCATAGAATACTCATGGGAGCTATTAACGAAGGTCTACGGACTGGACCCGGACCGTCTCTACGTGACTTACTTCGAGGGCAACAAAGCTGGAGGGCTTGAGGCTGATACTGAAGCACGAGATATATGGAAATCCGTCGGGGTTGCTGAGGATCACCTCCTCACTGGAGACATGAAAGACAACTTCTGGGAGATGGGTGACCAAGGGCCTTGTGGACCTTGTAGCGAAATCCATTACGACCGGATAGGTGGCAGAAATGCTGCACATCTTGTGAATCAAGACGACCCCAACGTCCTGGAGATATGGAACAACGTGTTCATACAATACAACCGAGAACCGGACAAGTCTCTAAAGTCATTGCCTAACAAGCATGTGGACACAGGATTGGGCTACGAGCGACTGGTTTCAGTGCTCCAAAATAAGATGTCAAACTATGACACAGATGTTTTCACTCCACTGTTTGCCACGATACAAAAGATCACTGGCGCCAGGGAGTATAGGGGTAACTTTGGGGCCGACGATCCAGATGGAATCGACACTGCCTACCGAGTGGTTGCCGATCATGTACGGACCCTGACATTCGCAATCACAGACGGAGCTGCGCCAAACAACGAGGGACGGGGCTACGTGGTTCGAAGAGTCTTACGACGAGGTGCCCGGTATGCACGGAAATACTTTAATTCAGACATCGGCGAGTTCTTCTCTCAGATCGTCCCCACGCTAGTGCAGCAAATGGGCGATATGTTTCCTGAGATCAAAAAGAAGGAATCAGATGTCAAGGAGATCCTAGACGAAGAAGAAGCATCGTTTGCTAAAACCCTTGATCGAGGGGAGAAGCAGTTTGAGAGCTACGCACAGCAATCAAAGCTCAAGGATTCGAAGAAGCTTCATGGCGCTGATGTTTGGCGACTGTACGATACTTTTGGCTTTCCAGTCGACTTGACACGGCTCATGGCCGAAGAGAGGGGCCTGGAAATTGACGACATGGAATTTGAGGAAGCTCGACTAAAGGCGAAAGAGGCCAGCAGAGGAGAGAAGAAAGCTGCTGCAGATATGGTGAAGCTGGACGTTCACGATCTTGGCAAGCTTTCGAAAATGAACGACGTTCAACCAACAGACGACAGCCCAAAATTCGGAAGAGGCAACATTACGGCTCAAATAAAGGCAGTATACCATTCGAAGCAGTTCTTGCAAGGGACCAAAGAGATTCCAGAAGGCGAGCAATTGGGATTGCTTGTAGATCGAACTAATTTCTATGCGGAGCAAGGCGGTCAAGAATGCGATACTGGCAAGATCATTATAGACGGCGTTGCCGAACTTGAGGTTCAAAATGTCCAAGCCTACGCTGGCTATGTGCTACACACTGGCTACATGAAGTACGGCTCGCTCTCTGTTGGTGACGAAATCATTTGCGAATTTGACGAGCTTCGAAGATGGCCAATACGAAACAACCACACTGGCACACACATACTCAACTTTGCATTACGCGAGGTACTCGGGGATGGCATTGACCAGAAAGGTTCACTGGTCGCTCCGGAGAAATTAAGGTTCGATTTCTCCCACAAAGCGGGTGTATCAATAGAGGAGTTGGAGAAGATCGAACAGATATCTACCAAGTACATTAGGCAGAACTGCGAAGTTTACGCGAAAGATGTACCTCTCGCCACGGCAAAGGAGATCCTCGGAGTACGTGCGGTATTTGGTGAAACCTACCCTGACCCCGTACGGGTAGTGTCGGTGGGCGTACCTGTGGAGGACCTCCTCTCGAACGTCAAAGCCAAAGAATGGCGAGAAGTCAGCGTGGAATTCTGTGGTGGGACGCACGTTCTCAAGACAGGCGACATCAAGGAGTTGGTAATCATAGAAGAGAGCGGCATTGCTAAGGGCATACGAAGAATTGTCGCTGTGACTGGCTCAGACGCATACGAAGTCCAGAGAGTTGCAAAGGAATTTGGCGAGAGAATAGAGCGACTAGAGAAGATGCTTCACGGCCGTGAGAAGGAGCAGGAAGTCAAGATGACGCAAGCCGATCTGAACCAGCTTTCAGTGTCATGGATCACAAAGTCCAAGCTCCGAGACTATTTCGCAAAGATTGTCAAGGCACAATTGGACGAGCAAAAAGCGCAGCAAAAAGCCGATGCCAAAAAGGCGCTGGATGCTATCAGCAATTACTTCTCTGAGCACAAAGACAAGAAAGAATTTATCGCCAAAGTTCCTGTTACCGCGAATCAAAAAGCCATTAGCGAAGCTGTCAATCATGTCCAGAAGAAGAACAAGGACAAAACTGTGTATCTCTTCGCTGTGATCGATGGGAAGGTCATTCATGGATGCCATGTCTCGGAGGTAAAGATCCGCAAATTGTTTTACAATTCTCTCGTACACGAGCTGACGAATACACAGGCCGCGAACAAGCAAGGAATGTCAGCCAGCGAATGGGCTAATGCGGTATCAGGCGTCGTAGGCGGCGCAGCGGGAGGGAAAGGGTCAACCAGCGTCGGTAACGGCACGAACCCTGAGAAGGTGGACCAGGCCGTTGAGACGGCCACCAAGTATCTTGAGAAGTTCCATCTTTGACGGCATTTGGCGTCTTGCGCAATAGTCATCTGGTGGTTGTTTGCTATTTGTAAGTCATACCCCTTAGACATGCATGCATGCATTTGAAACACTGGGGGAAGATCGTCCCCAACATATCTTGAAGCGATCAGGACTCGTGTCCTTCGAGGCTATATGTCTTGGCGCAGTTGCGTAGGTCTGAGACATCATCAAGCTAGCATGGCCTTCTCAAAGTCCTACTTTGCTTACTGGTGAATCAATACTTTTCTGTGCTCTCTAACAGGATGAAACATGGTCCTCCACACCCGCCGTAACAATAACAGCGCCTAACACACCCATGTTCTTACCTATACCGGTGTTTTAATGGTCAATGAAACAGCACGCGGTCTTTTCTCGCAGGTATTGACCACGCATGCGAATCTCTTGACTGTAAGTAGCCTGACGTTCACGGCTTATTTAACAGGCTCTGTGACTAGGTACATTACAGCAGCATTGAATGCTGGGGGTTCTGAAACGACGGCTGAGCGAACGCCTGTGGGTTTAGGGGATGGCGGGCGGTCTGTTGTGGCTACGAGTGCGGATGCAGTGTCTGCTGCCAGTACGCTTAGAAGTCAGGGTCATACAGATCTTGAAGGAAGGGGCGTGAGCATCGAAGGTCGGGGTATATATGGCCGCTTGGGCATGTGGGATGTTGTGCGGTACTTGGAGCGAGTATTTTAGTATCATTGATGATTAATACTCTTTATGACAAACAGACATGCTTCAGTGGGACAATGGATTATCTAGCGCGTAAACACAGCATTCTGAGTCACATCATGCTTGAAAAGAAAATCGATCACTTCGCGCAACCAACAATCGGCGCCCAGCTATGAAGGTGATATGATCTTCTGTAGACGACTGACAAAAAGCAAAAGTTTGATTTGATTCCCTTCCTCCGGAATCGAACTGGAAACCTCAAGGTGGTTGTTTTGTCAATTACAGCCTTGCGCTCTGCCAATTGAGGTAGGAAGGGGTTTCTTTTTCAGATGTGAATGTTGATAGACTATTTATATCATAAAATGCTGGAACGTATGCTGGGGCGTTGAGTTCGGAAGATTGGGGGTATCAACATTCTACCATCACTTACGCCAGGATGCATACATCATCTATCATCTACTCTTAAGCTTCATCCACCCACTTGCTCCTCTCCCCTTCCCATCACTCTCCTCCCTCTCCGTACCTCCACTGCCCTCATTGATACCACTCTCCACTCCCCCCGGCCTCACCAAAATCACAGTCTCCTCAATCCCAGGTCTTACAACATCCTTCTTAGTCTCCTTCTTTGCCTCAGATCCAGCCTCTTCCTCTTCCCACTCATTTCCCTCCAAGATCTCCCATTCTGCCCCTGTCCTCTCGGCTAGGAGCATCGCTTTGACCTTCTCAATGACTCTCAGGGGATGTTGGAGACCCCAGTCGCGCATGTATTCTGTACCGGATGCTGTGGCGAGGTAGCCATATGCGGTACCGTGAGAGAAATGGCCCAGAGGTGGAACATCTTTGGGATTCTCTGGCTGAAGGGTGCGAGCTGCGGCAGTGGATGGACGGGAGAGTGAGGGCTTTTGCGGAGGAGTCTTGCTGGATGGTTCTCTTGATACAGAAGGTCTCGGAGGCGGAGCCAGGAGCAGTTGCCACAGGTTCTTTCCCATAGCGCAGACGTCTTCCCACGAGTTGCCCCCAACGTTGAGACCTTGGGTCTTGCATAGCCAAGCTATATCCCAGGCTAGGAATGCGATGCCTTCAACGAAGGAGGCATATGCGACTTGATCATCTTTAGCGAGCGCTGAGAGTTTTTTGTCGAGATGTAGTGGTCGCGGCCTAGGCAGGGATCGCTGATCAGCGTGACGAGACGCTGATGGGCTGTTGTTCGAGGAATGTGAGGGCGTAGAGCCTGGGAAGGGGACTTCACGGCCGGTGTATGATGAACCGGGGGAGAGTATGGTGGGAAGAGGATAATCGCGATGGGGCAGTGTGATTTCGGCTGGAAGGCGGAGGGAGAGGTAGTGTGAGACTAGGTGGACGAGATGTGCTAGGTTGGTGTTTGATGTGGTTACATGTGCTGGGGATGCATCTATAGAAGAGTCAGCCTGTCTCAAACCATAGTCGAAAGAGTCCATACTATTCAAATCCCTGAGATCAGCGATTGGTACTCCTCCAACGAAATAGACATCTCTGCCTAATCCACCTTTCTTGCGCTTCCGCTGATGGAGACCGTAAAGCAAAGCAGCTTCCCGGCATAAGAAGAGACGAGACTCCGCGGTCTTGTTGTGCAGAATATCCCACCGGTGTTCTGTCCTCCGCATGCTTTTATCCATATTCTCAACAGCGCCCGTCTGGCTCTTGGACAGCTCTTGCTTGGCGGAGGCGAACTCTGAGCGTCGCTTTTGAAGCCTCGCCTTCCTTGCTGCAATCTCAGCTTTTGTGTTCTGAATTTCCTCACGCAAAGTCTTGACGTGGTCGTGGATTCCCTGCGTTTTCTCTTCCGAGACGATCTGCTCGGCGGCTGCTCGCTGGACAATCCACGAAGGATTCGGCTCTGAAGGTTTACCCCCAGGCGCGGGTATAATTCTAGTCGGCTTAGGAGTACCGGCTACATTTTGATCCACCTCTTTCTCTAAGGCTTCCTTCTGTAGCAACGACTGCGCAAGTTGTATTCGAGGCTGGTAGAGGGTATTTCGAGCGCAGAGGGTGCAGTTGAAAGGTAGCCGGCTGCTTGGGGAGCGTTGGCATATGTCGCACTGCATCTTCGAGCGTTCTTCGAACACTCGTCAACGTAGTCTGAAGGAATGTCCAGACAAGCCATGTTCTAGTTCATGAATCAGAAGGATGTGCTAGGCGCTTAGTCTCATGATTGCGACTTGTGACGATGCTGTAGTAGGACATCTAGGTTGCTTCTGAACGAGTGAACTATAAATGCAAGATGTGTTGTGAGTTCCTAGTTGCAAACATACGGAGGTTTGCGTAAAGCTAGTCTGGAGAAGGTGACTGGAGATGCAAGGCAAGACAGGTTAGATTAGGGTTTAGTCGTAGCCTTATCGATGGGGCAAGCACCCATTTTGTGAGGAATGCGCTCTTTACTCTAGTTTCATGGTTAGACTTTCGCATGTAAAGCTGTTTACCATTATATCCTCTATAATTCAATAGGCAAAAAATCTTTATGGGAACGGCTTATTGTAGAGTTGCTACATGGAAACGTGATTGTGTACCCTACTGGCTAAACCCCGGGCAGATCTTTGTTGTTTTCCACCACAGCCCCAGAATGAATTCAGACACCTTCAGCATCTATGCATCCTTCGAGTAAGTACATGGATGCTTTCTTGTACGCTCCAATCCCCCCGGACTGGAGTCTGTGAAGCTGTCAAGCCGTACCCCTTTATCTGAACTCATGTTCTCTTATACTCCCTCGCACTCGTGTCAACATCTGCTAGATCAGCCTCATATCGGTCTTCTTCTAGCGTACGCAGCCTCGCCATACCTCGAAATCCCATGTATCTGCCATGCATAATCTCGAAAGCTACCCAATAGGTACAGCATCATGGAGAAGGTCTCTGATCTGACAGACCTCCCAACGGACGTTTTCCTAATTGTTACAAACTTTCTTGACGCTCGTGACATCTTTCGTTGTCTTTCCGTTTCAAAAAGATGGCATAAAGAATTCAACGACGGCCCTTTTCTCCGAGACATCTTGGTCCGAGATTACAGCAGAGCGAGAGAAGTGCGCTCTTTGCTCACCAAGGAATCGAGTGAGCTTGAGCTGCCGCAGAACAAGAATTCGAATGAGGTTCCAATTTTGTTGAAGAACACCTTCGATAAGGTCGTAGCAAGATACTTTGCCCTGAAGTCTGGAAAACCTTGGTCATCCACGGAGCTAATGCTTCATCTGCCACTCAAGAATCCTTGGGCAAACCACAACCTTATTGGAAATCAGTATCCCGTTGGCAGATGGAGCCGATACGTCATCCCAGGACTGACTCTTCCCCTGAGAATCAGAGGTTCGCGAGAGGAACGTCACGTGCCAACAGATTTGAAAGAGACTGAATGGACTTATGATGCTGGTCTCCTAGTCTATTACGATCTTGACGTCCATGCCTATGTGCTTCTCGACATTGAGTCTAACACTACGTCAATCGTGCCGTTCAGTGTCAAAGATCAGGTTGTGCGAAGACTCCGTCTGAAACACAGTCTCCTTATCGTTGAATGGGCTGAGAGGTGTCCGTACCACAAGCTCAACGATGATGAAGACGTCCACCGCCACTTTGCCACGGCTTACGATGTCCTTCCGGCTCCAAAGACCTTTCCTTGGCTTCCTAGGTGGAATGCGACGTTTCGCAATGAATGGAAGCTACATTATCTGGGGTTTCCGTTAACGCCGCGGGACTGCTGGCTTTCAACACACTCTCCAACACACTATGCTGCGTACATCTGGCAACCCAATAGATCGTCCTGGGGTGAGGATCAGCCGATCGAGTCTCTTTTGATTTGGGATATCAGCCAGCCCTCGCCTTATCGTCCATCTCAGGATCCAACAGGAGAAAGTCATTCCAGCCTTGGTCCGCCCCTTGTCAAGAAGCTGTCCTATTTAGACCTAGATGACTTGACCATAAGGCAACGGGATGCGCCTTCACTGAGGAAAATTGAGCTTGATCAAGGCTCTGTGTATTTCATTGAGGAGGGATGTGATCTTGAACGTGGTATGCACGTTGTCTATCGACCAGTATCTCGCCGGGTCCATCAATACTGTGAACGCATAGTCGGGATTCCTATCATTGGCTCAGGACCGCGATGGGAAGATAGACGTGACGATGATAGCGCTCCACGAGTGGAATGTGGGTCTGAGAGATCTCCTGAGTCTCAGCCACTACCTGAGCCTAGGAGAGCAAGCTGTTGGCGTTACAACAACATCTATCCCGGAGTTCGCAATCAATCAATTCGGGACGACCCAGCAGACATTGAATTTGATGTTGTGCAGCATAACATCGGTTGTCCGGAGATATGGATCACGTCCCCTTCCCGTGGTTGGAGCACTAGGCTCGACATGAGGGATATTCATTATGAATGGAAGGAGGTCGCGGGTGATGAGCGTTGGCTGCTTATCCAGAGCAAGCAGGAGCTTCGCATACTCCATTTTGATAGGGAGGTCAAACAGGGCAGGAGCCAACTTGTGGAACTAGGATTGCCTGATAACTGAAAATCTGTGTAGCTAGAACAAGGGATAGGATATTCCGATCTGCTGAATGAATAGTATCCCAACTCTCATAATGCTCAGACTTCCGCTTAAAGTGATCAAAGATATTCTCCGACATCTCCTCGTGTCGCCCAACCCACTCATCCTCCACCGTGATGCATATACGCCAGCAAACTACCGTTCCCAATTACAGCCATCCATGCTCCGCGTCTGCCAGCTTTTCAACCACGTCGGGCGCCCGCTTCTCTACGGAAACACACTTACCAGCTCCACGCCTTCCACATCCATCAACTTCGACGCTCACATTTCCAATCTTTCGGGTCGAAATCGACTCCTAATCACTAAGATTCGACTCGAAATCGACTGGGCAGAGCAGCTATGGTCAAAGTTCCCACTCATCGCCCGCTATTTGGGGGAACTCAAATCCCTTAAGGAACTACGGATCGTCATTATCAACGGGGAGAAGAGCGGAAATGGTGCAGCTTTGATGGTCAACGACCCCAACCAAAGCCTCACAATCATGAACCACGGAGCCGGAAAGTGCATGCTCCCAGCTCTCACAATCGCAGAAATCACGCTCAAAACCGAAAAGAAAGTTTTCAAAGAGCTTGTGGAAGGTTTGAAAGCGCTGAGAGTATTCAGATTGGAGGGATATACGAGGGATGAAGCGTTCGCTCGTGGGTTGGAGGAGTTTCATAATGGGAGGAAATAGGGGATTGTAGCGCGGGCAGTTGCCAATTATAGAAGGCGTTTGAGCAGATTAATATGTATACCTCCAGCGAAGATATAGG